AAAAAAAGAGTGAAGCAGAAAATCAGAAGCCATTGCTGCATAAATGACAAAGCACCAAAAAGGGAAAAAGAAGAAAAAGAAAGAACAGGGGATGAAGATGCTGAAAAGCTTACTCTAGAAAAAAAAAATATGCATATAAATGCTTTTAATTAGTGAAAAAGGTAATTGCGTGCATTTCTATATTCAAAAAAGGATAAGTTCTTATAAAATATCTAGAGAACATTTCAGATTCTTCATTTCTTTGACCTCCCTTTTTTCACAGCATTTCTTTGGCAGAGTTGTTTTGGGTTTTTTATTAGCACCTCACTTACTTTCTTCAATACTTTCTTATACGCATTTCAAATGCTAAAAAGTAGAGTTTCCCTCCAATACTTCTTTAGACTTGTGAGAGAAAAAAGTGCTTATAAGCAAGTTGAAGAATAAGCTCTGCCAAACAAACAGTCATTGAGGGTCATTAGCTCCCCTGCACTTATCAGTCAAATGCATGCACATTTGCTAAAGCCAAGGTATGACACGATAATATTTTCAAATACTTCATAAATGTCCCCTTCCATGCCTCTTATCTGCGAAGATATCTTAATCACAAAGGCAGATAAGAAATGTTATAAAATTGTATCGTTCGATGAAGTATTCCATAAGTTGATCAGTACAACCTCCAGTCAAAAGCAAATTTTGGTTCACAAGTTAGAATTACATCATTGTTTGTTTCACAAAAAATGTAAGGCTCTAAATGAACAGAAACCTTCTAAAGCTCAGCTAACTCATTGACATATAATTTCATTTGACATACAAAAAGCCCATTTTCCATAGCCTCCCCTACCCTCTACCTTGTCCTCATCTTCTCCTATTGGCATTGGCACAGGATGACTGCATGAACATACCTTCAGCCAGTTTATATTGGCATGTAATGACTCCATTAAACCTTATAAGCAATCAAAATTATGCATATAGGGATGGAAGAAATGAAGGACTTCAACTAGCCTTCAACTTTTCTTTGCAAAACATAGAAAATAAAAGCCAGAAATCAACTAGAATGCCAAATAAAATAGAGCAAGTTAGATGTCCATTATACCTGAAGTGACTCCTCAGGATAGCTTTCTTTCACTTTATGCAAGTTAGCTATTTCAACAACAATAGAGCTTCCGCTCGAATAACCCATCTTCCCATCTAATTTAATCTTTGCAACAGACTCAAGGACACCCTCATGGGAACTAGACCCAGACATGCTGGCAGCAAGACGGCTACTAGGAGAAGCAGATCCACCAGAAGCTCCACCAATGCCATTATCAAATAAAGGAACAATAACCCAGGCAAAGGACTCTCTGTAAGGCATAATTCGAGACCACACCTGCAGTTTCTGCCTTTCTCTCTCAGTCAAGTGCACCTGTTAAGGAGAAGATAGAGAACAACAATAATTATAAGGAATTTATTTGAGATGCAGAGGGTAAAATGTGCGATTACCTTAGAAATGATTACCATTAAGCAATAACAATAGTCAAAAACCATACAGCTACTAAAATAAATCAAAATTATATTTATTTTCCCTGAGCTTTCATCAACTCTAAAATATTAAGAGTGTCCCACAACAAACTTGATGTTCAGTTCAACATTAGTGGTTGAGGATCTACCCTCATATTCCAATAGCCAAAACTATGTTGCCTCACACATGCAACAATTCTCAACTGACATAGTTTAAATTATTTATAGACTTTCCTAATCATCTCTTCACTAAAATGAGAACACTTAGCATGCAATGTAACAATTTAAGTTCAAATGTACAACAGCTGCATCACCAGGTTCTTTTATTGCTTTGTTTTCTCTCATCTTTTAAAATGTCAACGTTCACCAAACTCCAGTTGATTAATATTTCTGAGAAATAAACATCCCTTCCTACTAGA